GGCCACCCCCCCCCCCCCCAACTATTAAATCAAGGCTCTCCAAGCAATGTTCCAGGAGAGCAGAGGTGCAAGGAGGGCCAAACCTAATAGGAAAAACAGATCTTTCCCAGAGTATTACTAACTGATCACATTCCCACTTTGCAAAATGTCCCTTAGCATCACTCTGAAAGAGGCTGAATCTCATGGGAACTTCAGCTCAATTCTTCTCCCTACCCCAATCAAACGCCTGCAGCATTTTCTACAATTTTGGACTCTCCAAAATGCCTATACCTCCATTGCTGGTAAAGTGAAAAGGCAACAACTATATGCTCTAAATGGTTATCTCTGGCAGGTTTTTTTAAAAAGTATTTTCTACTTCAGCTTTTCTTCCCTCGGTTAACTCACAAAGCCTCAGGAAGATATGAAGGAAATCTTATAATGCAGATATTCTAAAAACATAGCTAGAAAGGACACTTCTGCTTAAACTAAAAGTGGATATGGTTAGGTCTGAATGGAGAAAATATAGGTGAAAAAGAGAAATTTTAATTCTTCTTGAAGTATTTTTCCATTTTAGGTAAAGCTCTGTAATACAGATCACAATTTAATGCATAGCAACAAAATACCATTAGAGCATAACTTCAAGTGACTTCAAGTTATAGCAAGTTTCATTTCACCCATTACAGAGATTAACCCAATCTAAATGTGCAAGGTCCTTGTGATCACTTCTTAGACATACCCTAAAACACAAGATCAGCAGCTTCTTAAGGGCAACTTCACATCTTATTCGTCTTTGCAAACCCCAGTGCCTACCCCATAGTCAGGACTCAATGCACAAACAACACATAGCCCAACACCTGATGTATACTAGATGCTTAATAAAACACCCCCAAGATTATGGGCCCGATGTTCTTTGACTTCAGTAATCTACTCCAAATGGAGTTGGTATTCCTCTCTTACCAGTGTGTTAGTCTAAATGGGCTACCACAGAGATGGACTCAGAATACAAGCAGCCAGTCCCTTGCTGCCATCCATGAAAGCTGCACGACTCTCATTCCAGACTGACTCAACAAGCTGAGGCAGCCACAAGGTCACCTGAAGCCCAACTTGTTTCGTTCTGAAATATTGATGCACTTTTCTTATTTCTCCTATGCGATCCTTGATTGCTGGGAGAGCCAACAGAAGTCAGTCTCTACCTACTCTCAATAAACAGAAAAATCATTGGCCTTTAAAAAGAAAAAAGCCAAATGCTGCAAAAGGAAGAGGTGCCGTGTACCGAGCACCTACCATGTGCCAGGCTCATACTTCACATTTTCCAAGATTATTTCTGATTAATCCAACAACCCTGTTGAAGTAGACAACACCCCCATTTTGCAAAAGAAGAAACAGGATTAGAGAAGTTAAGGCACTT